CTGGAAAAGGGGACAATTCGCCTTCTTTTTGGTTCAAGATTACTCGCGATTCCACAGGTGATGTGCTATTCACGACCGAAAATCAAGTACTTGTATACGAAGACCAATTCATCGAATTCGTCACTGCCCTTCCGGAGGACTACAATCTTTCTGGGCTGGGAGAGCACATTCATGCGCTGAGGCTGCACAACAATTGGACCGCCACTATCTACGCTGCAGATGTGGGGGATCCAATCGACAGGAATTTATACGGTAGCCATCCTTTCTACCTCGACACTCGGTATTTTGAGGTGGGAAGCGGCAATGACAGGAAGCCCGTGAAGACATCTCAGCTCAACCAGGAGGGCCAAGGGGGGAACTACAGCAATGCAAATGGTACTGGAAACAGCACTAACGATGGACACTCGCCTTACGAATCATATGTTCACGGCGTCTACCTGCGCAACGTCCACGGACAGGAAATCAAGTTCGAAGAAGGAAGTATCACTTGGAGGCTTTTGGGAGGCAGCATTGATCTCTTTTTCTACGCTGGACCGACCCAGGCCGAAGTAACTCAGCAGTACCTTAAGTCCATCGATGCACTCCCCGCTATGCAGAGCTACTGGACCCTGGGCTTCCATCTCTGCCGATGGGGTTACAGAAACTGGACGGAAGCAAGGGAAGTCGTGGAGACTATGAGAGCCTTTAATATTCCTCTCGAGACATTCTGGCTAGACATTGATTACATGGATCAATATCGGGATTTTACGCTGGATCCCGTCTCGTTCCCACCGTCTGGAGTTAAGGAGTTCTTTGACTTCTTGAGCAGCAACAACCAGCATTTTGTTCCCATTGTTGATGCTGCTATTTATATTCCTAACCCGCAGAACGCTTCCGACGCTTACGATACTTATGCGCGTGGTAATGAGTCTGGTGTTTTCCTCACCAACCCAGACGGAAGTCAATATGTGAGTGCCCCAGGCTTTGTCTTCGGTGTCCTTCAACGCTGACTTCTGTCCCAGATCGGAGCTGTATGGCCAGGTTACACTGTGTTCCCTGACTGGTTGTCGAAGAAGAGTCAAGAATGGTGGATTAACGAGGTGTAAGCAAAATCTTTCAGTTCACCATATCCATCAAGAATCGTGCTGATTCCCACCAGAGTTGAATGGCACAAGGAGGTCCCCTTCTCAGGTCTATGGATCGATATGAACGAGGTATCCTCCTTCTGCGTCGGATCTTGTGGAACCGGAAATGTCACTCTCAACCCTGCGCATCCACCTTTCTCCCTGCCCGGCGAGGTTAACAACATCATCTACGAATACCCCGAATACTTCAACGTCACCAATGCTACCGAAGCCGCCTCCGCGTCAGCCGCAAAGTCCAGCCAGGATGCCATCGTGAGCGCAACTGCAATACCCGCTCCTTCCACAACTAGCTATCTCCGTACGACTCCCACGCCTGGTGTCAGAAACATCAACCATCCACCCTACGTTATCAACCACGTGCAAGCTGGGGCCGATCTGGCTGTCCACGCAGTAAGCCCCAACGCAACCCACGCCAACGGAGTGCAAGAATACGACGTCCACAACGTCTGGGGGTAAGTCGATATCATCTCCATTCCTCCCACCTCTCCTCACTTGACCCGAACTAACATCATCCCACCCAGTCACCAAATCCTCAACGCAACCTACCAAGCCTTGCTCAAAACCTTCCCCTCCAAGCGACCCTTCATAATCGGGCGCTCGACCTTCTCCGGCAGCGGCAAATGGGCGGGCCACTGGGGCGGCGATAACGCCTCTAAATGGGCGTACATGTACTTCTCGATCCCGCAAGCGCTCTCCTTCTCGCTCTTCGGGATCCCCATGTTCGGCGTCGACACGTGCGGGTTCAACGGCAACACAGATGCTGAGCTGTGCGCGAGGTGGATGCAACTTTCTGCGTTTTTCCCGTTTTACAGGAATCATAATACGTTGAGTGCGCTGTCGCAGGAGCCGTATCGGTGGGAATCCGTGGCGAGCGCGAGTCGGACGGCTATGGAGATTCGGTGAGTTTTCGATCCTTCCCTTCCTTCAAACCAAAAAGTTGAAAAAGCCCACATCCCCTCGTAACCCCTTCCCTACCCACCCACATACATACATGCCCATCTCTTCTCCCTCACTACAATCCCACTCACTAACCATCACAAAGCTACACCCTCCTTCCCTACATCTACACCCTCCTCCACGCCTCCTCCACAACAGGCTCCACCACCCTGCGCGCCTTATCCTGGGAATTCCCCACCCAGCCTTCCCTCGTCAGCACAACCACGCAATTCCTCCTGGGCCCCTCTCTCCTCATCACCCCTGTGCTCGCACCCGGTGCCACTACCGTCTCCGGCGTCTTCCCCGACGTGCCCCGGACAACCTGGTACGACTGGTACACGGGATCCGCCATCTCCGCCCAACCCGGCGAGAACAAGACCATCGACGCGCCATTAGGCCATATCCCCGTGTTTGTGCGCGGCGGGAGCGTGGTCCCGCTGCAAGGGGCGGGGTATACGACTACGGAAGGACGGAAGAAGCCCTGGAGTGTGCTGGTTGCGTTGGACAAGGCTGGTGAGGCGGAGGGGTCGTTGTATGTTGATGACGGCGAGGCGCTTGATCCTGGGGAGGAGTTCTTGGAAGTCGGGTTTGAGGTTGGTGATGGCGAGCTGGAAGCTAAAGCTAAGAAGGGGAGTTGGAGGGATGAGGTCAGTTTGGGGAATGTGACGGTGTTTGGAGTAACGGGTGGTGTTGCGGGTGTGTCGTTTAATGGTGTGGAGATTGAGGGGGGTGCTGGGGGGAATGGGACGGGGGTGACGAATGGAACGAGTGCGGAGTCGCAGTATAGGTATGATGAGGAGGCTGGTGTGTTGCGCGTTACGGGGTTGACGGCGTTGACGCGGAACGGAACGTATGGTGGGGATGGATGGAGGTTGAGCTGGAAATAACGCGCACATATACGTGCGTACGTACGTATAGGGATAGCAAAATACGGTATTTTAGAAGATAGAATGTTGAAACGTACAGTAGATCATAACCTTGACTATAAAAACAATACTAGTATGAAAGATCTTTTTAGCCCTCTTTTCAAAATGAACCCAAAATGGCCACTGTTTGTATAGCCAGTGTTTGCGCGATGAAGATTGAAAATAACAAAACCGCTCATCCCCAATCTCTGAAGAAAAGCAAAGAAACCCCCCGCCTCTACATCTCCAATCGAACTCTGCCAAGCTGCAGCCCACAACCCTAATTAACAAAATTTAGCTCAGTTCTGTCCCCCTCATCTATTACAAACGTTCAATCTGAACTACGTACCTACCTTGGGTGCCGCTTCCGTGAGCTCCAAAGCCTCAATAACCCAAGGCATCAATAAGTAAAGAGCACCCAGCGCAATCATCGTAATTACAGCAACCAGCCCAAACTAGATGTTCCCATACGTATAAAATCTTGCGCTTTTGTCCATACTTTTTCAATAGCTAATCCCATCGTGTTCCCGAATGCGGTTTCTGATTTGACAGCAGCTTTCATTCCCGCGAGGATACATTGCGCAATGGATGAGTACCATCCTGTTATACGAATGGGATCGTTAGAAGATGAAGAGTGGGCCAAGCTAAGTGTTCTCGAGTTGAGATTATCGACTTACTGGGCTTGAAATACAACGTCGAGGGTTTGACCGGCTATAAAGGCTGCGCTCTTATCGTAGAAAACAGTAGAAGAGAGAGAAAAAAATTTTTAACTTAAAAGTACTTTTTGCATAAAGGGATATAAAATAACTACAGACTATAGGTAGGTAGGTAAAGTAAGTAAAGTAGAAAAAATAAAAAAAAATAGAATGCTCTATACTATATGTGTATGTGTATGTTTAGACCGAACTACTTATTAAAAAAAAAAAAAAAAAAAAAGAAAAAAGGGGGAGAAGAGTTATTCTTTCCCCCTTTTTCCCCCCTTTTTTTATAGGTTGTTTGGAGTAACAACAACAACGACTACACGATGCTTTTTTTGATATATATATTACTTTTTTTTACGCCGTTTCTAAGAGGAGCTAGACCCGGTTGCTACTACACGAGGGCTAGGAAAAGCAGGCGGGTAAGCAATTTACGGTAGTTAAATGAGGTTAGCAGCAGGCAAATAAAAAATACTTAAGTTTATTATACGTTTATTAGGTGTTTACAAGGATACAGTTGAGTTCTGCACACGTAGAGATATTAATTACTAAGTTAGAACGTTGACGGGGTGATTAGATAGTTGAAGCCGGGACTGCCTTATTTGCAGAATAGCTCATTGAGTTACCTTTAAAAGCCAGCGGTTACTCCACCGAATCCAAGCCGCTTCATTTACATTCTAACAATCAATTACGCATACTTACACTTATAGTCCGCATTGCACTAACTAGTCAACACACAGTATCAGCCCTTTATCACATTTCTCGTATTCGTATCCTCACACATAGTAGGTGGTAGGGGTAGGATGCGTGCAGGAACACCTGGAGAACCCACCGGTAGAACATACATCTGTTGTTGCCATCGGTCGTACCTACAGATGTCGCGCACTCTGGCGTTGAGTCCCTATACTAGTTTGGTTACTCATGCTTTTTTGGACCCTGGAAACACTCTGAAAAATCGCACTGTTTGATTAGACCCCCGCTAAACTGTTTCTCTTGGTAAGTGATATAAAACCTAGAATTAATGAGATACGGATATACGATTACCGGTAATAGAATTTCCTTTGCATTTTTAAATCAACGTTTAGGGGAGGGGAGGTATACAAGTAGGATCTTAACAACAGAAGAACTAAAACTAGATTAACTAAATAGATGGGCTACCTGTATAACTGAACCATCTCCTATTTATCACTCGGGTATATAATCCTCCCGCATTTCCCCCTCAAAAAACGGCATACATCCCGTAATTTGCATTCGAACTACATTTTCCCACCTCCGTCTCAGAGGGATGAGTAGGGTATATGTTACGGAAACAAAAAAAAAACAAAAAAGTAAGTTGTTCTCCGCTCCCAGAATCGAACTAGGGACTATTGAATTGTTAGTGTTAAATTCTAGTTGATGTCGTTAGATGACGAACTTACCCTTTCGATTACAACAGATATTACAGTCGAACGTGATAAACCAACTACACCAAGCGGAGTGGATGACACTGGATTAGTGTCGCTTGATTCGATGGAGAAATTTCCGAAATTATTCCAATATGTAGGCAGCCAAAAAATCGATAGAATTGCCGCACTATGGGGCCTGTTGTTCGTCAAAAATTGTCGATCGGCTCAATGCGAAAGCGTCGAACGTGCCCACTAATGGATGTTCCACTCCACCTGCCAACTTTGGAACGAACCAACCCATTAGCCCCACCATACTTTTCAAAATCTCAAACCTCAATCTACCCGATCGATCCTGAAGAGGCTGGACCTAGTTCGAATTCTTTTGATACACTCTATATACGTACACAATGATGTAGAAAACTATTCTCGTCGAACCCAAGTCAAAACATTTCCTTAGGAACCATTAACGCAGGTTTCCGAACCTAGCCCACTCATATGGTTTACTCATGATCGTCTCGCCACATGCGATGCCCGTCATGGCAATTCCTGGTGAGTTGCCTTATCGCCGAGCTCATGTCTTATCTGTGTGCTCCTCGCCGGCCCGTCCATTTCATATCTCGTCTGGTCGTGCGGCATTTGATACGCTGCCGTTCCCGGCCCCGGGTTCTCAGTATTGCGATGACTTTCGTGCTGCTGTTTCAACTTCCGATATTTAGCTGCGAAGAATACGGCCGCAAATGGTACCTATCACAATTCCAGCGATAATGCCACCAGACAAGGTGGGCGACGAGGAGGAGAGCGGCGAGGCAGTGGGTGTGCTAGTTGAGTTGGTGGTGGCCGGGGCCAGCGATGAGGAAGATGTCGACGCATCGCATCGGATGGCCGGGGCAGTCGAGGCAAAGGATATATCGTATGGTAGAGTGTGGACGCCTACCGCGGTACACCCTAAAGCGCCGACATCGCCTTGATAAACGCCGTTTGAGCCAGGTTCGCAGCACCAGCCGCCGGCATCCTTTATTGTTCTGTTTCCTTTCCATAACGTCCATCTTGAATCTGGGCACTGCCATAGAACGTCATCAATCACTTGGGCAATGAACCAGAAAGGCCTTCTTACCTTAGGCTCGAGCTTGGATTTTTGAGTGCAGTCTTCTCCCTCCTTGCAGCACCAGTTACCTTCAAAATTACCCGTTCCCGTGCATTTCAGGCCGTCTGGGCAGCAGCGTATCTGGCCAGTCATACCTTTACCGCACCAGACGGGCGCATCGCTGGGACAGGAGCTGTCGTTTACTCGAAGCGCCCAACCACCTTCGTAGCTACACACAAGGGCAGATGCCACCAACGCTCGCAAACTGAACAAGATAAAGACAATTCTTAACATAGCGTAGTAGTAATTGGAAACGTTCCAGTTACTGCGGTAGTTGGTTTACACCCTGACGGCTTGGAACAGTAGATCTGGATAATTTCTAGCAGAAAAAGAGATGGAGAAAAGACACAATAGGTTCGCTATGCCTACTAACTTCTATAAAGTTGCAAGCACATACACAATGTTGGCGTTCGTTCCCGAGCTGAAGCAACATGGGGCTGTACTAATACACCTAGGTCACAGCATCGTGACGCCGCATATCGGTAGATTAGTGTACCAAATAATAATTAACCAACTCTATTAAACGGAGTATTTCGGTCTAAGTTCTGATTTGTATGAAAGTACCGTTGAGCTATACCTCCCCATATGGGGCATCCTGACGTGGTGACTGAGTGGACAGGAACTGATCTTTTTGCATTTTCCATATACTTCCCATGATTTCTCGGGTAATCCAAGAGCTCCAAAGGAAGGTGTTGCAGCTCAATGCAGTGATAATTGTGAAAGGAAAGAACAATTTTATTAGAGAAAGCTAATAAAAAGGAGTTCACCGGCATTGCTTTATAATATATCTGACAAAGATAAGCTACGATCAGCTAGGCGCACACCAAGAAGATGTACAACAAGAAGGATCACATGAAAGATCAATTCACTAATACTAGCCCTGAAGAGACATTCATCGACGGGTGCATCGCTGGAATAGTAGCTGTAGTTCACTTAGACCGCCTAACCTCCTTATAAGCTACACAGGACGGCGGATATCAGTCGGCGGCACAAGAAATACTAAAAATATATTTAAAATAAACGAAAAAGCAAGAAAACCAACCACGAGATTTAGAGTTTTGCCAGCAGGATCAAATCGTGGTACAAAACCCCCCAAAAAAAGATGGCAATTTCGTAGAGAAGATCTAATAGATCTTACAAAAAGAACTAGGGACCTTTCGATTACAACAGATATTACAGTCGAACGTGATAAACCAACTACACCAAGCGGAGTAATGACACTGGTCGTGTCGCTTGCTTTTTGGAATTTTTTGGCTTTTTACATTGATATACTGATAACAAAATCCATAGTTACTGTGCGTGTTCACTAGAAAGTTAGGCTCAAGCTTAAGCGACGTGCCCACTATCCTGATGTCCCACTAACACTATGTATTTGGTGAAGCCATCTGGCTCGCTTAAGTCGCAGATCATTCATCACCTCTATCAGCCATGCGTGACTTCCGCAAAACTAGAGGATGGAGAAGTTTCTGACCCTTCTAACGCCTGCGTTTCTATGGTCATGAATAACGATTCTGTCAAAGGACACACCTTAATTCACGATCATTTGCATCGGAGGCACCAGACTTCAGGGGGCTAGGAAGATTACCCTCAAGCCGTCTTAAGGCGAACCTAGAGCTCTCCAGGTAGAAGAGAACGAGCACGCTCCCTGGAAGAGGTGTATACGACCAGCCGAAAACAATCAAGATAGAACACGGAAAGCGGTCCTTTCATGGTGCATCAAATGTAAAAAGAAAACGCGACTCTCTAGAGGTCGCACTATTTTCGAAGACAATGTACCGAGGTGGACTCCCAGGTAAAGCACGTCCCCTGTATCTTAAACGGTCTCCGGACTGCTTAAGCTGCAAAACTCGTGGGAGCAGGCTCGCTTCAGTTGATGAGCGCATTCCATCCATCTACTACCAATCTCTGTTGTTTTCCAGTGAACGCTTTGGGAATTATGACAACGATGTTCTAGCTGTCCTACTTGGTCAAGGGCCTGTAACTATCCTCCAAAGCTCCCCCCGTAAGAAACTGCCAGATAGACGGCTAGGACGGGATTGAAGTACATGTGAACCACCAGGAGTGGTACTGGCGAACATGTCCCAGCGGAGATGACGGAGAGTAACGAGATATGCTGACCCACCACGAACTCAAAACTGTGTTAGAATTTGATAGTGCGCCTTTGTCTTTACAATCTGCGAATCTTTATTCCGGGTAGTTTCATCGCAGGAGTTGCAATGATCCGCCGCGCGCGATTCATAGTCTGTTTGCCTATCTACTCTACCCTTCAACGTTATCAATAAATCCAACTTGAAGAGCCTATGTATCTCTTCAACGCAAGCTTCACCATGGATTTCTCATTCGGATCTTGTCTTCTACACTCTTCATCGCCCAACCCCTCACCGCAGCCTCTTATAGCACAGTGGAATTTGCACTTAAGCACAACAAATAGTATATATTATTTCCGTAATACTCTACGTAAGGAAGCTAGTCTTTTTGCTATAATATACTTTAATAGTTTAGAGTATATAGTTTAGAGTACTGTAAGTACGTAAATAGTAGTAAAACTATATTCTCTTAAGGTTATATAATATGTTAGGGTAATGTTATATTTTTTTTTCTCTTAACTACAACTTTTGTTATAGGTTGTAAGTAACTAAACTAAAACTCTAAAAGAAACTTACATTTAAAAAAGCCTATTATAAACTAAAGGTAAAAAGAAAAAAAGAAAAGAGGTATTAAATAAGTAAATTAGTTAGTTACCTAGTAAACTAATTATAAAAAAAAGACAAAAAAAAATAATACACAACACGTAGTTCTATTCTAGCCTACCTACATCTTTTCCTTTCTAGTTATTTACATACATAGGCACACATAACTCCTTTAGAAACCCTAAAACTGGAGCGAGGAGTAGAGATAATAAAGAAACATCTATATCCCCCCCCCTCCACCTTAAAATAAAAGACCGCTTAACAAATTAACTATAAAAAACAAAAGCAAAAAAAAAAAAAAAAAAAAAAAAAAAAAAAAAAAAAAAAACACGTTAAGCTGTAGGTAAGTTAAGCCACACACATTAATTTTTTTAAAAAAAATTTCTATAAGCATTCTTTATTTCTTTTCTTTTCTATGGAATCTAAGTGTGTAATGTATAGGAGAGAGAGAGAGAGATGATAGAGAGGGTGTGTGTGGTTGTTTCTAGAGAGAAAAAAAGAGAGAGGGAGAGAGAGAGAGAGAGAGAAAGGTGAGGAGGAGGATATGATGTTTGTGGTGGATTAAGGAAAAAAGAAAGGAAGGAGGGAATTGAGGACGAGGTTTTTCTTCCTCTTTGAGATACACGTCATACTACATATGTGTGTGTGTGTGTGTGTGTGTGTGTGTGTGGTATACCTTTAATCTGTTTGTCTCTGCTGTCGATAGGTTTGAAATCCTCAGGACCGACCTGAAGACCACCTCGTCACAACCGAGAAACATAATACGGGGGAAAAAGGGGGAGGGAGAGAGGAGAAACAAATCGCACTCCACACCTACGAAGGCGGCAGCTCGCCACCCTCCTTCCCAATGCTCTTCTCGCCATCCGCACCACCACCCCCCTGGGAGTTCAAGGCACTCAAGTAGCAGTTCCAGCCCAAACTGATGACATTCACGACCAAGACGCGCATATCGAGGGGCACGTATTTGAAGTTGACGGCCTGGACCCAGGGCCAGACCATGAAGTTCTTGGTCAGGCCGGGGACGTAGGCTTGCTCGAGGCGCTTCTTGGGGTCGGCGCCCTCGAGGTATGCCATGGTGGACAGGAAGACGAACATGTTGGTGGGGGCGAAGAGGAGTTGGTCGCAGGCGACGCGCGCGGCGATGGTGCCGTTGGGCGATTTGAGGTTGATGTTGCGCGCGAGGAAGCCGAACCAGGTTGTTGCTGCCGGGCCGAAGATTGCTGTTGTGGGTGGGGGTTTGGTGGTTAGTAGGTTGTGT